TCTTCCAGTCGACTCACCGACAGCTCTTCAAGTTCAAATGAATTACGCATACTAATAGTTGGTGATGTGAACGTCGGTAAGAGCAGTTTGGTCACTCGCTTTTGTGATAAGACCTTTTCCGACACCGAGCCGTCCAACTCGAACAACACAAGAACAATCAAAGTTGATATCCCTTCTGATAAAGCAGGACCAACTTCTTTAGAACTCACTGATACGGGTGGACAGGAAAGGTTTCGGACTTTGACTTCTTCGTTTGTTTCTCCATGTGGTCTGAGTTATCTTTTGCTCTTGTTATTGGAAGTAATGGGTAATACTAGTAATATAATACTTATTACTATTTCATAACTATACGTCTTATATTAGATGAATAATAAATATTAACTAATAAGGTATTATAGAAAGGCTCATGGCGTTTTTATCGTGTTTGACGTCTGCGACGAAAACTCCTTCAAAAGTCTAACAAACTGGGAAAAGGACATCGGCGTGTACGCTCCTTCTAAATGCGTTGTCATTGTTTTGGGGAATAAAAGTGACCTTGAAAATCATCAAGTGACCAAGGAGACGGTCGACGAATGGATGGCTCAATACTCGAATGTGAAGGCGTATTACGAAGTCTCAGCAAAAGAGGGAACTTCATGCGAACAAGCCTTAACAGCTATGGCAACAGAAGTCGTCGCAGCAGTAAAGGCAAGCGATGGAGAACAGCCAAAGGTCGAGCAAAAAAAAACACAAAAAAAAACTGCGTTTTGTTTTAAGTCACTGCACGAACAATTTGTTTTTGATGATGGTTCACAGGTTTTTCCAACCCTTTTATGTTGTGTCGTTCCAGCAAGTTGTCTTTTTTTGTTTCTTGAATTAGATGTACTATAAAATATTGTTCTAAGAACCATTTTTATGGTACAATTTTAATAATAAATGATAGGATTATATTGGTGGAAAGAAAAAATAAATAAGCGCAAAAAATAAAAGGAATTTCACAAAGGAATTACAATTTAGAGTTGGACGTTGACAAAACCATGTTCTTTGTCTTCAGTATACTTCTCACCCATTGATTTGAGTTGTTTCACAACCTCTTCTTTGATCTTAGAAAACCCAACGGTGTTATGGTGACCCATACCACATTGCAATTTAAGGATCTTCTTGCCAGCCTTTTTCCGTGAGGCAATTTCTTCTTTCATCATCATCACAGCACCATCAATCTGGAGACCATGTAAATCAATGCAATCCTCATCACACATGTAGATTTGGACTTCTTTGAATGCATCTCTGTGCGCCTGTTCTTTGGCTTTTTCGAAGGCAGCCTTTTTGTCTTGGAAAACTCCATTTAACTTTTGTGTGTCTGGGGATTTTTTCTCTTTAGCATCAAGCCACGCCTTTTTGGCGGCTTCAACGTCGTCGTGAGCTTTGTCAACTTTGCCATAGTGTTTTGCGTAAATTTCGTCAAGCAAAATACTTTTGTCGCCAGAGACAACTTCCTTCTTTCCGTTCGGTCTATTTTCAATAACTGGTTGGTCTCCTTTAGCTTTAGGAACGTGGGTTCCTTCTTGCGGCTTATTTGAGGTGTTTTCAGTCTTTTCTTGCTTTGGTTGTGAAGCTGGTTTTGGTTGCGAAGAGGGTTTGTTCGATGTTGATGAACCAGAAGACTTTGGTTTTGAACCGAAACAACCCATTGAACTAGATTGAATTAATAACTGAGTTGAGCCTTTTATAAAGGACGTTTAGAGACTAAAAAAAAAGAAGAGACTCTGTTTTATCAAAACCCAAAATTACTTTGAATAGATTTTAAATTACTTTTATTAAATTAATTTTCTTTATTAAAAATGGATCTCATGCAGTTGTGAGCTAGTATAGTGTCTCTCTTTTCCCAAATAACCCTCAATGTTATACACGTCACGGTCTGTTTTTAACAAGACTCTGATTAAACTCGTTTTAAACAAAATTAGTTTAATTTAAATACTAAATTTCGGGATATTTGGAAATTCAAAAACAGCAAATAAAAAGTATACATTTCTATTTTTATCTCATTAATTGTTTTCTTTTATTTTACTTGTAACAAGGCATATTCCGCACCCATTTATTTTTTTGGTACTTATTAAATATTAATTACTATTATATATCGGGTTTTTATAAACACCAATAACTCTAAATCAGTAATTGCATCATTCTTATGTTTCCTTATATAACTTACAATTCAGTTTTTATAATTTAATTTATTAATATAAATGGTATATTTATTTTTAAATTCCTTAATAGAAAAAAAAGCAAAATTTTTAGTTGTGATTTGTTTTTCATTTTAATTAAAAAAGACCGACTATTTTTTCAAATGGATTTTTTTGATGTGGTTGTAAATGGTTTATTATTCATTATATTATTATAATATATATAGTATCTATTATTTATTAGTAATAAATAATAAATAAATTATTACCAATAATATTAAATATATATTATAATATAATATTATTTACTATACCAATATAGTTATATTACTATACATACTATTTCCTGCAAGACAAGACATAATTAAAAAATAGTTTTTATTTTTAATAAATTTGTAGTATAGAAATAATACAAAATTACTACTAGCAAGAACTAAAAGATTCTAATAATTGAATAGAACAATAGTAACCAATCAATTGTGAGTGAACCGATGAGCAGCGAGACGCCCATAAGACGACGCCGAGTAGAATTCATCACCCTTTTCATTCCAGCAGACGGCTGTTCCTTTACCCTTCAAAGGAATAGTGCAGAGTGGTGTGACTGATCTAATATCCCACACTTTAATTGAGTAATCGAAAGCAGCTGAAGCGAACAAATAAGGGCTCAGAGGATGCCACTGAACGTCCTGCACCATAGCGACGTGACTTTTCATCAATTTCATCGCGACGTTTTTCTGTCTTGGGTCAGAGATTCTGATGATACAGTCGTTGTGGCCGCTGAGTAACAAGTTGTTGTTAGTCGAGTAATCCAAACACAACGTCGTCTTCCCTGGCTTATAAGCGGAGATCATTGACCCATTACTAGCGTCCCAAAGAGCAATGGACCCATCAAGTGATGATGAAAAGAGTTGAGCTTCGACGGGCCATAATACTTTAGTCACCGCTTGTGAGTGCCCAGTGATTGGCATATAAGCCGTCACTGTTTTTGTTGCACTCTTGGTACGAAGGGGGGAAGTCTGGACCGGAGTATTATAGTTCTGCAAATCCCAAATATTCACGGTCGAGTCCCAAGAGCCGGATACTAAATGTTGTCCGTCGGGGGAATAGCATACACTTTCAACAGAGCCTGTGTGTCCCTTGAGTATTGATTCTTCGTGGAATGTCTCATTTTCGAAGGCATATATAGTGATTGTATTTGACTTCCCACACGCTGCAATTCCAACATGGGAATTTGCATGTGAAACGGAAATCGATTTCACAAATTTGGGTGAAGTCATCCAATTGATTTGACCAATTTCTTTCCCACTGACTTGCGTCGCGGTGATTTGAGAAATGTTGTTCCCACTAAACAAATAGCCGTTGACTCCTCTCAAACATGTGATCCAATTCTTCTCATCGTTCTCCCAAGTCTCCTCAGGGGCGGGTAACGCAACGGTATATTCAATTTCTGTCACCGCTTCTTTACTCATGTCGCGCTCAGTCAAATGCTCCCCAAGTGTTTTCCGCAAAAAATCGCCGTTGACGATGAAATCAAAAGGTATGTGCGTCTCTAACTGCAATAACGTGTTTATCAATTTCGATAATCCAAGTCGCGTGAGACTCAGTGGAACATCATAATTCGATGTGGGGACTTGATACCCATTCAATTTCGTTGAAAATCGCACAATGGTGGTTGGCTCACTCATAGGGTTTCTCTGATTTTTCCAATTTTTCTTTTTTCGATTGGAATAACAATTTTAAAAACAATTTAAAATAACAATTCAAAATAACAATTTAAAATAACATTTTAAAATAACATTTTAAAATAACATTTTAATGACATTTTATTATATTTGTTTATAACCACAAAAAATTGTTATTTGAGTAACTCAATTTAAAGAAAAACTGAAATTTAAGGTTTGATGGAAACACAAAACTACTCGGAGTATTTCTATGTTTTAGGAAAACAATATTTCACACTCGGAAATTATGAGGCGGCAAAAGAACAGTTTTTAATAGCGGCGAATGTGTCTGATTGTTTGTTTGTATATAATATTTATAATAATAATATATTATTATATTATTCATAAATAAAAATAAATTATATATTATAATAAAAATAACTATACAGACCATGACACAGAAATTATCAGTTCACTTTGTGAAGTGCTCATACTTCTCAAGGAAAGAAAAGAAGCAGTTACTATTTTATTACGATACTTTAATATCCCACACATTTCATTGATACAACCTCCATACCCAACCGTTAGTACTTTACAACTTTCTATTTTTATGTCAGTCTTTTCACACGACAAAAGTGCACTTGAAGTTCTTTCAAAATTTCCAACGAAGTTGACGACCTTCAATTTACACTCTCCAAGTCAAGTGATGCAAATTTCTCACATCAATTTTACATTAATCAAGTCGAAAGCCAAAAGTGATGTCTTGCGTTCATCCGAGTGTGTTTTAACAAGTGCTCTTGACTCTACAAATTTAGCTTTTTTAAATATGATAGTACACAACAAGTTACCTTTAGAACAGGCAATTTCTTCATGCAACAAGATGATTGAAAGTTCGCAAAATTCACTGATTCGTGACTTGAACAAACTGACACTCTCTTTAATGACAAGAAATTACGTCGATTTCTTTCAACAAATTTTGATGCTTCGACAGACCTTTCCTAAAATCGAGAGCTCTTCCTTCGTGCAATTCCTTGAGGCTTTGTTCTTCTACGAAAAACGGAAATTCACTGAAGCCCAATATGCCCTGTCACGGTGTGTCGGGGAAAATACCGTTGTGTATTCCACGTCAATTGATTTCTGTGGGGATGTTCCAATCGAGTCAAGCGAGTTTGAGGAAGCAAACACTGACTTAGAGAAGTACAAGTTAGGCTTAAAGTTCATTCAAATTAAGAAGTATGAGAAAGCTATTCGGACACTCAAAACTATTCAAAGCCTTCGAGTAGAAGGGTGTGTTGCTTCTGGGTATGCTTATTCATTAATGGGAGAACATGGACTTGCCATTGAATGTTACAACGAAGCTTTTGAGTTAACGCCTTCGAATTTTGAGATACAAATTTCTGCTATTCAAGAAATGATCTTAGCTAGAAATTTGAATTTGGCGGACCAGACCTTAGGGGGGATTATACCTATTGCTGTCACTTGGGAGGTCTTAGCTTCGTTGGGACAATTGAGGTATGCTCAAGGAAAGTATGCAGAAAGCTTGAAGGCGTATTCAGCTGCTGTTGATAAGTGTGGAGAAGATAATGTTCGAATCACTAAACTGATGTATTCCAACATTGGGCATTGCTATAGGAAAATGGGGTTTGTCTTCTTTTCTCTCTGTACTATATGTCTAATATATATATACTATAATTTTATTGTATAATTATTTTTTATAAATATATTATAAATATACTATATTTATCAGATTATAGAAGTATTATATTTTTATTCTATGTTTTATACTATATATTTATAATAAATATACTATAATTATATTATTAGTGATATTATTAGTGGAATAAACAACTAAGGAGTAGAAATTATGATACAGCCATTGAAGCATTTAATAAAGGGATGGGACACAACGATAACATCCCACTTGCTGGGATTGGGGCGTGTTTTTATAAAATGGTTTGTCTCTAGTTTTTATTTAGTTTAGAATAACAAAAAGAACAATTTGCAAGAAGCCTCGAAGTACTTCCATTGCTCTCTTGCAATCAAAGATGACTATCTCATCCAACAATTTCTGCGACTTGTGACTTCAAAGTTGTCTCATTGAGGCGTGGGTGTACCGAATGATTATAATTGATAGCAAAGGTGTGTCTCTTATCACTGAAATACCTCTTTTGTACAATAGTAAAAATAATATAGTTAATTAATCAATAAATGAATTATTATTTTTTAATTGTATTATATAGTTAAAAAGTTAGTACCAAATAGTTTACATCAAACCTCAAAAAGTTGTCGAAAGTCACTGGAATGAACTTAAAATGAAGTAAAACTGATTTTGATGGAGGATTTAGACGAGCAAACACTTTCATTTTATACCAGACGTGCATCATTGGGGGACAAAAGTTCGAATTTAATACTTGGCCTTCGCTTGATGGGAACCGAAGGGACCGAAAGAGAGGGAGTCTCATATATAGAGAAAGCATTTCCATTGCCTCAAGCGTATCTGTGCTATTACAAGTACAATAAAGATCAAAAGTATTTAGTCTTAGCAGCGGAAGGAGGAGTGAAAGAAGCGATGTACCCTGCTGCGTTGTATTTGTTACAAATAGAAACGGACGTAGGGAAAGCACTGACATACTTAAATATAGCCGTCAGGAATGGAGAGCCCGATGCCGCGTCATGTCTGTTACGGAGGTACATCAATCGGAAAGAGTACACTAATGCAGTCAACGTCTTTGCATCAATTAACTTCCAATTTACTGATGAGCTGAAGAAGTTAAGTGGGATCTTAGATGTCCTCCGCGGCCGAAATGAGTCGAATACCATCAAATATTTATACGACCACCCCACCGACATCGAGTGCAAATTCTATAGCGCCGTTCACTCCCTTTCGAAAGGGAAAACTGAACTAATCCAACAATTCACAACATCAAAGGAAAAAATTGTGGGATATGAGAACGTTGGGATAACAGCATGTACTATGCTGGCAAGAGCATTGAAGAATGGAATCAATGGAATACAAAAAGACTTTGAAAAGGCAGTGCAGTGGTACATCGAGGCGGAAAAATTGGGATTCACAGACTTCTTTGAAATAGCCGAGTGCTGTAAAGAAGCTAAAAAGGTCGAATTGGAGTTCGACTATTTGAATAAAGCAGCAAGCGTCGGATGTGCACAAGCTATGGTTTTGTTGGCTAAGATCTTCATCGAAAAAAACACAGAGGACGATAAGGAAATGGCTTCTATGTGGTTGGACCAAGCTAAAGAACTTGGATCGGAGGAAGCAATTCATATCTTAGCTTCACTCAAAAGTCAAAGTTAAATTTTAATTAGTGAAGTTAAAAATCAGATGGATAGAAAATTAAAAGTATTGAATAGTTTATTTCCATTTTAGAACATATGGAAGAGTTCTAAAATAGTAATAAAATGGGAATGGAAAAATACTTGAATTATTATAATTAATTAATAAAAAGTAAAAATAAAACCATTATTATCAAGTTATTTGTTATAGTAATCGTTATAATAAATAAATAGTCAAATAAAAATTTATTGAAATTAGTATTAGAAATTAAGAGTTTTAATTTCTAATACGAAATGTAACATTTATCAATAATAAATAATACATTTTGTATCATTTATAATAAAATTGTTTTTAACAAAAATTGGTTTTGTACTATTGAAATAAAGTTTATATTGAATTATAATTTCATTTAAAAATCAAAACAAGTATAAGAAGTACAAAATAAATTTATGTCGACAATGTGGCCGAGTGGTCCAAGGCGTATGACTCGAAATCATTTCTCATTTGAGGCGTAGGTTCAAATCCTGCCGTTGTCGTTTTTTACTTCATCAACTATATATTCGAATAAGTTATATGTTATTTATTTTGAACTTCAATTCCCTGATTATTTGAAGTAATTAAAATTATTAATTAAAAAAACTATTTGTGATTTTATTATTCTGATTATAATATGTTTATTATTTATTTAATAATAATTATAGAAATGTTATATAAATGTTATAAAAAACAGTATTTTTGAATGTTTTTATTATTATACAAATAATTTAAAATATTTATGATTATAATTATAAAAACAAATATTGTTTTACAAATGTGATGGTTAGTTTTAATTAATCAAACTAGTAACTGATAGTTAAATTGTTATTAGTTATATTGGTGAGTAGCGAAAAGACATGCACTTTTAAGAAGAAAATTCGAAAGACTTTTTTTGTTTGGCGGCTAAAACACAGATAATTCATAAACAAATATTTATAGTTCAATAATCTATTTCTAAATAATGTGAACAAAAAAGGGTTTTTCAACAAAAAAAAACACTTGTTTGAAACAACAAATAAGAGTCGAAATAACGGGAAAATACCCCAACTCAATTATCTTTAAAGATCTTAGATAGTATTATCAAGTTCTACTTGACATAAAATAACAATTGGTAAAAAGAAATAAAATAGTGTAAAAAATAATTCTGGTTGCCCCCAAAATTATATTACAAATGGACACCCCTCAAAAAATGTAAAAATAATAAAAAATATTATTGTAAAATAGTAAATGCCGAGAGAATGGCGGTTTTATTTCCAAAAATACCGTTGGAGCACAAAAATGGAATAAAAAAGGTTTTTTGTTTGAAAAAAAGCTTTTTTTTCAATATAGAAAAATGGCAGATTGCAAAATGTGTCACCATATCAGCAATTAATTGTCACTCTCGTACTCGCCAAATCTAACTTTCTTTTAGTTTTGTTTTTTTGCATAAAAATAATCTGAGAACTCAGGAAATGACAAATATGAGTTTTTGTAGAATTCATAATTATCAAACACAGAAATAAAAAGTTTTTTTGGGGAGAATATATAGTTAAATTATAATTTAAAATTACTATATATCACCAACCCTTTTGTGTTTTCAATTTATTGAACAGGGGTTGCCCAGTATTTAGTGCCATTTTCGGCCGGTTTAACTGAATAGTTTGTTATTCTTTAAATGTTTTTTAATGGAAATTTCCCGAAATTATACGTTGAACAAGTCTGCTTTTTATTATAGGTTTAAAGTTTGTATATAAAAATGTCTCATCCAATATTTACATATCAAGTTGACATTTTTTTTACTGTGATTGAATATATTATCAAATAATTATATAAACAAACCCTATTTATATTAAGAAAACAATAATAAAGAAATGCCAGTTTCCTTTTGGGATAGAGATGTTTTCCAACAATAAAAATGGCAGTTTAATTTTTTGGTGATGTTACAAAATATTATATGTACATGGTTTTATTATAGTTGAAATATAGTTTCATATCAGAAGAGAAATAAGGGATAGAGGAAAACAAAAAGAAACAACGAAAAAACGAAAGTCAAGAATTATAGACCCAAAAATGAGTGATTTCAGATCGAGTGTGTGGAATGAAATAGCATTTAAGTGCGGAAACAACTGAGAAAACAAAGGAGTTTGTCGATCATCATGCAGATCCTGACGCTCAACAACTACGGCACTATCCATATCGAGAAGTCTGACATCGGACAAGTCAACACAACTAAGGTGGGGATGGTCAAGAAGAAAGAAAAGAGTGACTCGAGTCACTCGAGTTCTGAAAACACTCGTCCTGAAGTCAAAGTGGCTCAAACGCCAGAGATCAAAGAGGGTGTCTTGTTCTGCTCAGATGTTCAACCACATCACGCGACATCGACTTCTGATCAAAAGTCCATGAAAAGTTGTGACGAATTGATGTTACAAAAAGTCAGAAGACAAGGCGCATATACTCCAACTAAAAAGACTCGAGATACAACTGATATGAGCTTGTCAAGTGTAGCCGCGTTACTTCATTCATCGACTGTCAACCCATCACCAAACCCTGAGGTCTACATGAACCCAGTGGAAAAGTCTGGACTTGGAAAGTACGAACAAATATTAAAGAGTTGGACATCAGCGAGTCGACTCCATTTGGTCTACGACTCGTCGCAACAATTTTTCGACTCAAAAGGTTTTAATGAGAAAGTGTGTGGAAGGAAAAATTTATTAATTGTTGCTGTTTCTGGGAAATCAATCTTCGGCTCGTGGCATTCGAAACAAGTCCCGAAGGAAAAGAAGGACAGCTTTGTGTACATCAAAGACGACGAAAATCACTTTGTCTTCACATTGAAAAACGAGTTCAATATCCCACCTACTAGATTCTTCCCAAATGAAGTGGGCAAGCACACAAAGTCCCTCTGTTTGTCTGGTTCGAAGAATACAACGTGCATCGTCGGAGTATACTCGGCGTTCTTCATCGAAACCGTCGACGACGGGTCAACTGTTGATTGGAGCTTTAATACAAACTACAAAGACCCAACTGAGAAAGGCCACTTGATCTTCACTGGAAAGGAGTCATTTACCACCGACAGACTTCTTGCCTTCTCTGTATAATATATCGCAGTAGTCATCGTCCGCTAAAAAACGCCTAAAGGAAGTTATCATTGATTTGTTTACTGTATTGATTTATTATTAATTCATAGTATTATACTTTAACCATTATTTAATTGTTTATTTATATCAATAAAAGTTAATTAAACAACTCAAACAAATTATTTTTGATTTTGTATTAATATCATTATTTATAGTTTATTTTATTATTATTTTTAAATTAAGTATTAACATTTTAAATTATTATTAACCATAATTTAATGGTACATTATTTTTTCTTTTTTTCTTATTTTCAGGCAAATCTTCAACTTCTTAACCATTAAATAAGAGATCAAATAAATTATTATTTTTAGTAATAAAAATTAATACTCTGCAATTAAAAAACGGTAAACAAGAAAATAAAAATTTCATGAAATTGAGAGATGAAACATACAAACAAATAGGTTAAAAGCACAAAAAACAATTTTAAAAACACAAAGAAAACCCGCTTCGAACCCCTTCTATGATGTCTTTCTTCAAAAAGAAAAAAAAAGTAATGACTCAAGAGATGTGAATCTAAAAAATCAAAGAAGTGATGTCAACTGCGAACATTAAGACGAAATGCACTGAAGCAAAGAGAGTATCAGTCTCGTACGAAGCGGAGCAACAGGCTGTTTTAATGTGGATACTTTTGCAGGGCGACGTAACCTCCTTTACTGTTCAATGCCCAAGAAAGAAATCAGAGACGTCGCAATTTGTCGAGATTTCAACGGTCGAAATTTGCGGAGAGAAGATCGATTTTTCGGAGTACATTGAGCACTTCATTGAGGCGAGCGGAAAGGCACTCGACAAGTCTTCGAAGAACTACAACAAATATAATAAAAGAAATCACATTGCAGCAATTAACAACACCCTCATCTTATTAGTTCAGATGAGTGGGTTTAATGTAGTTCTTAAACACTAAAAATTCCTGTGTCACCCTCAAATTTTCTCGCTTAAATGTTCTTTCGTTCCGTGAATATGTATTTTGTGGAGATTCGATTCAAAAGTTTGGTTCTTTCCTCAATCACGTGATGATTGAGAAAATGAAAGGACACAAGAGAGACTCGGATTTCGTGATTTCAAAACTCGACTTCTCAAATCTCGAGATTGACAACTTGAGTGTCGAAGGCGGAATGAACACACTAAAGGGCTTTGAATTATTAGGGAATGGTGAAAAGTTACTTTCCGTTCTTAGACCCGTCTCAGTCTCGTCACAGATCTCCTCCCCTGTGACGAGACAGTGCCAAGTGGAGGAGAGAAGACAGAACACAGTGATGGAGAGTTCCAGTCGCGTTTGCGAGAGTAGGTTCGGAGCCATGACAACCGCCGCAGCAACAACCACTACGACGGCCACTGCTTGCAACGGCTCCATTTTTAGAGACTCAGATTTTATTTTTAATGATGACTCAAAGCGCGACGATAATAATAATAAACGCAATCTTAAAGACATTTTGGGGTTGGAACAACTGGAAGAAGAACGAGAAGAAGAGGTCAAAATAGAGGAGATCTGCATCGAGGAGCACCCACAGCCTCAGATGCAGATCGTACCACAAGTTCCAGAGGTGCAACAATTCCAGCAAATCCCGCAGATGCAAATTATTCCGGAGATGCAGATTCAGGATTGCGGGTGCTGGGGTGATTGTTGTTATTATTATTACCCATGCCAAGAAATTGTTTATGAGCAAGCTGAGCTTAGTCAGAACGGAGAAGGATTGAATGAGAACAAGAGCGCCTTGGTTGAGGGCTTCTTGCATCATTCGTCCTCCTCTCAGTCCTTTGAGAATGGATTCCTCCAATCTACTGTCTTCGACTACTGGAAGTAGATGACCGGCCGGAAGGCGGATTCTCAGGGACTCTTTTTTGGAGTTTTTCATTTGAATTGAATAAACTCCAGGATTTTGGAAGCGGCTAGATCTGGTCATCAACCAACCGGACACCGACTGTTTTCAAAACTACTTGGGTTATTTAATTCAAGTGTCCTGTTTTGTTGGGTTTG